GGCATGCCACTTGTTGCCCTGAATTTCTTAACAAACATTTTAAACTCCCTTGATGTTTGCTCATGTTTATTTTTAGACTTTGAAACAATTAAATATGGTGGTCCCCTGCTTATTCTCTAGGCCTGTCACCCTTTTGCCTCCAACAGAAAATGCTGTGCTTGTTGAACTCTAGACAGGAAAAACAGCCTTTCATTATTATTATTTTGAACCCCACACTCCAGATTTGACTAAACATTGGCAGATTTCATCTTCACTGAAATTTCCTAACAGTGATTCCACCCTCTCTTCCTCGTTTACCTCAAATTTACTTGGAATGAACAGAACTATTTCCTCTGAAGTAGGAGTAGCTTATTGCATGGACAGGTGGAGTCCCCCCAACCCCCAGGCGACCCCTGAGTGGAATAATGGCTCAAGACAATGTCCTATGGGATTAAAATTGGTCACAACTTTATTAAATTTCAGAAGTAGGGATACCTTGGCTCAGGCATTGGGCGTTTATCCTTCCCAGTCCCCAGCCGGGGATCTGGGAGACATCAGGGTTATCCAGAATGTGTGGGGATTGGGCTGGCTCTGGAGAACATATGTTCAAGCAGAGAGCCCGCCTCCCGTTTCTCCATCATTGGAGGGGAGAGCAATGACAACCTCTCGGCGTATGGCTAATGCCTCCCCTCAAGACCCCTTTAATGGGGAACCCTGGTATCACCGCCGCAAGGGGGGCATGGGTCACTGCTTCACGCCCCCCCCCATTTAGGAAGATAGACTAAAGGATTCCACCCAAGGCCTGAAACTGTCACCCGAGGCTGCCTCCAAGACTACCTACACCTGAACAGACCCTTCGCCATCCATTCCAAAAGGCCATGCCTAAGGTCGTTCAGCCAATAATCATTACCAATGGCTGAGAGGTGTACTCCGTCGGGCCTGAAGAGTTCCTTCCTGTAGATTTTGATGCTGGGATGCTTCACAACGCGACCCCGAATGCACGAGGTTGCCAAGCGCAGTGCCCTATTTATTTTTTCGATAGTGTAGTTAAGTCTGGTGGATTTGAAGTTGTCACACCATTGTAAGCGTGGGAGGAGTTCTGACCAGAAAATAGTTATGTTAGGGTGCATGGCATGTAAGCTTTCCAAGTCTGTGATTGCTGTTTTCATCAGCACTATGCTCTTACGAACAACCAAGTTATTTTCGCCAAGGTGGAACACAACCGCATCTGGCAGGGGACAGAACACAAGCTCTTGATGCAACCAAGGTGCATCCGAGCACATTCCACGATGACCAAACCAGGAAATGGTGACCTACGGCTGAAGGCCCAGATGTTTGCCAGATGAACCTGTGGTGGCATGGACAGCTGCCCAATGCACTATGCTGTGGCCGAAGATCCACACATATTTGGGAGTCAAGTCTGAAAGAAAAGATTATATGGTATTTGTCAGTGCCTGTTGATTGTGCCTAATATAGCCCTTAAAGGCGGCTGAGCACCACCGCCCCATTGCTTTTATGTGCTCTGCAGTGAGCCCGCTTGCAGCTGCTGTGGTTGCTGCACCAATACGGAAGGAATGACCAGAGAATTGTGCTGGATCGCCTCCACAAGCATGGATGGCCTTCATTGCAACACTGCAATGAATTGGCAACGGGTCATAGAGCAGCCCATTGCGTGAATCAGGAGAGGGCCCAGCCCAGATGGGCGCACTTTCAGGAATTTGCGTGTATCAGAGACAGAGCAGGGACCAATTTGAGGGGAAAGTGCTAATGTAAGGATGGTACCCTTGCCTAGCTGGTCGGTTTTTGAGGCGCGTATTCTGATGTGCACCCTGCGGTTGCGGAAACTGACATCGGCGAGCGTCATCCCCCTGTGATGGAGTGATGGTGTGCTGCCAATGCACTCTCCAATCCAGAGCGCACCAAAAAAGGCCAGAGAGAAGGCGGCCCAAAAGAGCCTGGCTTCATAGCTCTGGGGAGCACATCCCATATCAATTGGAGGGTTTCAATGGTGATTGGCTTTCTCTTATCTGGAGTAGGAGGATGTGTGTGACGCCAGCCTGCAATTAGTTTCCTTACGTGGAACGTGTTACAAGGGTCAGGGTGCCACAAACAATTAGTAAAATAGGAAATTGTGGCCTTGTGTAGACTGAGGGCCAGGCCTTTCTGTTTCAAATAGACGAAGTATTTCATCACGTCAGACTCCCTGGCTGTGCATCTAGGTCGTGGACCAAACGTAGCTTTGAACCGCTCAAAATGCGACCAAGCTCTGAGGTAGGACTGCAGTGTTGACGGCGCAAGGGCACTCAATATTCCCAACGTCACTTCACTTCTCCAACAAAATAATCTGGGGTAGTTTGTGGGAATTTGTGGAAGTGGTGTTCTGTGAGGTGGGTGCTCTTTATTTAAGTGAGGGCGGGCCCAATGGCGCCAGGAGAGAAAGTGCCATTGCGGCCTCTCAGTGCTCACCTGAGAGGTGCCGGAACTGAGTTCTGGTTTGTTCCAGCTGGGGAAAAAGGGGCCTACATGCAGGAATTTAAAAGTAAGCATCAATTCTCATACATAGCTTAAAACCCAATACCCCAACGATTGCCTTTCTTCACATGAATCTGCTTGGACCCTGAGATCAACATCTGACACCCTTCTCTGCCTCCTAGAGACATTTGGAGGTGGTAAGAAGACAAAAGCCCCTTTGTGGTAGAGCCCAGCTTGTTGAATCCTCCACCCAGGGAAGCTTGCCTGGCACTGACATTGTCATCCTTTTAGTGCCAGGCAAATATGTATTTGGACGGCATTAACCGTTTGGCTCCTAGTACTGTTGTGTTTGTGTGTTGGGCATGTTTGGTTATCTTTGTGCTTGCATGCTTTTGGTATACTTGTTACCAATACTATGTTATAAACCGCATTTCTGAGTTTTTACTTTATTTCTGTGAGTCACTTCAAGACTCCTTTTGGAAGTGTTGAAAAAATCTAGTCTACTAAACTAAACTCTACTAATTGTGCCTCTCCACCCCCACCCCACCCCGCCTGCCAAATAAAATAAAATAAAATAAAATAAAATGGTGATTTGAACCTTTTCATGACTTCAGATTCCAGGGAATAGATGGGGCTGCATTGCTCACTCTGAGGTAATTATTAGGAGTTGTCATAATCTATCATCCAAACCTAGAAATGACAAACTTCAGCAGCATCTATACTTTTTTTAAAAAAAGCTGTCCACATCTGACCTTTTTATTTTAAAATAAAGATAAAGCAAAGCCTCAGCTCTTTTGCTCATTAAGGCTGCAATCCAAAACACACTTGCTAGGGAGTAACCCTTGCCGAACAGAGTGTGTCTAAGTAAACAAGCATGAGATTGCACTGTACTTCAGATAAACTGCATCTGAGCTGCTAGATTGCATAGATCTGAGGCCTTTTGTGTATGTTTGGTATTTATTTATACTGGCCTCTCAATAACATATATCTCTGGGCATCTCACAAACATAAAATAATAAAGATAAATATTTAAACTATCATTTAAAAATGGCATCATAAAAATTCCCAGCAGAGAGAGACATAAAACCAGTTTCGCAGTATAACTGAAAACCACAACAATATACAATGCTGCAAGTACACTGTGCTGCGGAGTTCAGAATCAGCAAACAAAACAGAAGAATTCAGTTTATTGTGCTTCCTGAAAACACGGCCATGTGCAGTATCGTAACGGTTTAGCTTTTAACACATATTAAGGAATACAGTGTGAAGGAATGAAAATATTTACATAGGCACCCTGGGATCTTTTTTCTTTGCTTTGCTTTCCGAATGGGTCATATAGTCATAGACTCATAGAATTGAAGAGTTGGAAGGGACCACAAGGGTCATCTAGTCCAGCCCCCTGCAATGCAGGAACCCATGACCCTGAGATTAAGAGTCCCATGCTCTACCAACTGAGCTATCCCTCCTTGCCCAAGGTGAATTCAAGGACAGAAGCAGAAACCTAAATCTATTTCCCTGTTTCAAATTTACACACACAAATTAGACACATAGCTGAACTGTTAGAAGTGAAAGGCTCAACCAATTTCCCTTTGACACTTATATTCTTTTTTAAAGCACTACATCCGATCTACAAGAGCTAAACAGGCAATCAAGCTGCAGAAAAAACAGGCTGTGGTGCAGGAAACATCTGCCCCTTTTATTGGAAAACTATTGCAAAGTACTCCATTTTTAAAAAATTATTTGTGCAGCAGTGGTATTGGGCCGCTGCTGAAACATCTTCCTAAATTCATTTTTGCCAGCCCTATAAAAACCAAGACCTCTGAACATTTCAGGGCATTTTCAAAAGAACTGCATCCCCCCCTCCCTTCTGTTTCAGATGGAAGGAGAATTGTGCCCAGACAGATCAATAGGGGAGTTTACCTTTCTCAGATTTCTCCTCCATTCTGTCTGACAGACCTTTGCTGGCATTTACCCTATTAAACCTTTAGTACTATTTGGATTCTGTGCGTGTGTTTAAATACCACAAATGCATTATTTACCAGAAGAAAAATCTGGCAGGCTTGAAAATATTATGAGGCACCAGTAAAGTAGGGACCTATGAATTGTTCATATACCCAGAAACACAATAATGAAGTTAGAGATGGTTGCATCTACCTATTTCTGTCCTGCTTGCAGATTGTTTGCAAAAGTGGCTCTGTTTTGGGCAGGGTTTTTTTGGGGGGTGCTTAAAAATCCACTCAGTTTCATAAACAAATGAATGTATTTATGAGGTGATCCAAGGGCTACCTTTGTTCTTTTTTCAGGTGCTTAGGGAAGGTAATAGCTGCTCTGTAAAAATAAAAAATAAATATGATTCAAAATGGTCCCAGGAAGTAGTTGTTCATCATAATGCGCAGACCGTTCCTGAGAACTGAATACAGAAAAAGATAACTGCCACCCATATAAGCAATGGAGGCAGCTCCCTTTTCATGGAATCATCGGATTTTAGAGTTGAAAGGGACCACAGGGGTTGTCTATCTAGTCCATCCTCTTGCAATGCAGGAATCTTTTGCCCAGCATGGGGCTTGAACCCATGACTCTGAGATTAAGACTCTCATGCTTTTCCAAGTGAACCATCCCAACCGACTCCATGCAATGTCCTTGTAAGGTTGTCAGAGCATAAAAACAGCCACTGGGGCTGTAGAAGGAACCACACTGTGTCAATGATACAGCATGTTGTGTTATGTATGCAGGCAGTGTTGGCCACACCCATTCTGCATGCATACCATTGCAGGCCTAGGCCATGATGTCTCCTGGAGCTCAGGAGCTTCAGTTGCATAGCAAAAGACACGAAGGATTCTAAAACGCTCCAGTGGTATTTGCTGGTATCTGGCAGGCAGCCAATCCCTGCTGCGATAGGCCAGTGTTGTGATTCGCTAGTTGCAGTCAAAGATGACCTATCACAGGCGGCGGGGGGAGGGGTTGCCTGGTCAGGCTTAAGGTATATATGCTGGGTCGAGTGCCCGTTTCTCATTCTTGTTCCTATTGAGCTAGGCCTCAGGTCATGTTTGAACCCACCTATACTTCACTGGTAGGCCGTTGTTATCAGTAGTTGGTTATCAATTTGTATCCAAGCTCAGTGCTAGTTTTGATCCCAATGAACTGGAAGCTTTAAGTGCCTTCTCCCACGTGAACCTGCTTGAGCCTTAAGATCAGTATTAGAAGCACTGCTCTCTATCTATCCCATCAAGTATAGCATGAATGACAGGTGTGGGGCATAAGTGATATGGCCTTTTGTATAGTTAAAGGAGCCTTTCTGGGGTCTGAGTCTGCATAATCTGGGCAGAAAGCTCTTAGGGGCTGCCTTCCAAAGTGGGCAGGACTATGCATGCGCAGTCCCAAAGACTTAGCACAAACCAGAGGCACCAGCTTCTCAGGGTGATTGAGGGGCCCCGATGTGATGTGCCTCGCACGTGCAATGTCGTGAGGAGCCAGGGGGCGGCCCCTCGCTGCCAGCGCCTATGGCACACACTCTGCCTCCCCTCTCTCCTGTTCAGTGCCTCCTCTCCTCAGCTTATGGGTGCGTGGGTGGGTGGGTGTGCAAGGCTGGCCCTTGCATGAGGCAGAGTGAAGCTGCTGTCTAAGGTGGCAAATTCTGAAGTGCGGGAAGTGGCTAGAAATGTATGCCCTGCGGTCTGCCCTGCAGTCCCATAACTAACTTGCTGCCCTAGGCTGTGGTGAAGGACTCCTTTCCATCACCAGAGCTGAAGTAAGATTCAGCTACCTGTCTAGCTTACGTTTTGTATATGCACTGCTGAAGCAAGCACTCTGGTTTACATTTTGTGTACAGAATGGCAAATGCACCCTCTTGTCCTTCACCTCAGGCAGCAAAATGGCTTGGGTCCCTCCTGTCTCTGTGTCTCCATGGTTGTGTGGATCTTCATTATTCTTGTGGCACTGAGGAGCAGGGAGGGCCCAGATTTCTTTCCCATCTCTGTAGGTGCCGTGTGGTGTGAGGGTTTGTGTGTTGGCCACTGCCAGACACACAACTCACCCCTTCATTCCAGCATTGTCAAACTAGTTCCCATCCTCTGCTTTGTTCCCACTATTGCCCTTCCTTTCTGCGCTTCTTGGTTTGTTTTGTTTTAAGATGGGAAGCCTAAGGCCAAGACCTGAGTCACAGTTGCATTTTTACCTAGCAGCAATACCAGCAGCATTGTGTAGTGAATTTTAATCTCTGTGAGCTGCTTTGGGGAATGCCAGAGAAATACATAACAAAGCAAACCAACAATATGGAGCATTGCCATGACAGCAATATTGGCTTCTCATCAGCTCTACACCCCATTTACTGTTTTTGACCTGCAGTCTTGCATGTGGAACCATTTTTGCTTGAGCCATGCCAATAGAAATAGTGATCCAGAGTGGATACATTATTATTATTATTATTATTATTATTATTACCATGATCATTATCATCTTAGTTCTCCTGCTGCAACTGTGGGTGGGGAAAGTGTGCTGGGTATTGCCAGCCCCCTGGAGTAGGTTCAGCGCGTGCCCTGTGCCATGAGGGTGGGGATTACTTTGTCAGCAAATAATGGGGTATTCCACTGAAGCGGCTGTATTTTCCCAGAGGGTGCTTCACTCGGCCCTGTCCCCACCTCAGCTATAGAAGCAGCCTTGCATTGCTTCTGCCCTTTGTGTAGACAGATCCCCTCCTAATCTCGCTTTTCTTTTGCTCTTTTGTTTTTTAAAGCAAATTTGGCAGAGGGCGAGAGCAGCTGTTTGGATAGTTCTGGAGACAGAACTCCTTTTCTATTAAAAAGCAAAACAAAAACGCTTTCTTGTTATTAGAAATTAGTCCAGTAGACAGTGTTTGGATTGAGATGAAAATCTGGAACAGGCCAGAAGGCTGAGGTTCATAATTCAAGGTTACACTAGAACAAAGAATCAGGTGAGGAAAACAAAACAAAGCCAATCAGCAATCTGTCCTCAGAAGACTTTTCTTGCTAACAGGAGGGTTTTATGCAGATTACAGACTTCCTATAATCTCCTGTAGTCAGGTATCATGTTCCAGAACCTCTAGGTATGCAATGTTGGGACAGGGGGGGGCACATCAAGCTCTCCAGCTAAGCAAGTAAATAATGCATCTAGTAGGGCATAAAAATGCATTTATTGGTGAGAATTGGTTTGCAGAAATGTGCATACTAGGCAAAATTGCATAGGAACATGTGTATATTAAGAGAAATTCACATTAAAATTTGGGTGAATTTTAATTTATGAATTGCTTCCCATGAGGCATCCTGAAGTGATTTACAGTATAATAACTTATATCAAACAGTTACATATCTAAAACAGCCTAAACGATTGCATATATAAGAATGTGAAAAATAATTACAAATATAAAACTAGTGTTAAACAACAGCACATACATAAAATCATTTCAAATCCAAACACATTGAACAACCTTTTCATACTCACTTTAGAAGACTTGGAAGAGGAAGGCCAGTATGGTTGCTTTACATTATACTACGGAGTCATTCTTCATAAAAGTGCAACTACACTTACACAATGCCCTGCTAAAGAATTTTTGAAACTCTTAACTGCAAAATGAAACATCTGAACATGTAAATACCACCACAGACGTGCATATATTTATTTATAAATCTGCATATATATTTAAAAAACAGACAAATGGCTAAATCTGAGTCATATATGCCAGCATTCAATAGAAACCAGGTACAATATTAACTAAACCGGAGATGGGCCACAATTTTTAAGAGACTTGGCTTGAGAGGTATTGCTTCTTAAAGTGTACATATGTATTTATTTTGTTTCAGTGTTGCATCTAAACAGGCTTTCTTTTTTAAGAAATACAAAAACTTTCCAAACTTTTTTTTACTTTTTTTGCAAAAGGCAAATAGGGCTCAGTCTACAGAACACAGAGAGAACAGCAATCCCTTTTTCAAACTGTCTTCACTCACTGAGAAAAACAAACTACAATTGCCTCTACAGCCTAGGTAGAGGGGGAGAGGAGTGGTATGCACATTTACATTATAGCCTGGAAATTTCAAACAAAGGGATGATTTATGCAATGATTTTTTTCATGGTGTACTTGTGGATTACTGGCATATGGTGAGTTTGAGAATAATTCAATCTGTGCTGAAGTAGTCATCTGATTATCTAACCATGTGCCTAAAAAAGCACCAATCAATTCATAACAAGAGCTTTATTCAGATGCTCATATATGGCTTAAATGAATGTGCAGGGGAGGGGGTGGTTGCTTGACAAGCAGGCTAGCTCCATCACCCATCTTCCTTAGAGTCCTGTGGAGGCTCCCCATTGCAGACATTCACCCTCCAACTCATGAAGGGTCGCTGGAACAATAACAGGCAGAGGGAGCATGCTCAGCCCTGCTCTACCACCACACGTGTTCAGTTAAGCCATCTATGAATGCTTGAATAGGGCTAAGGTCAGCTGGGCCTTTATGGAGGCTGACATGTGCCAAAGGCTGCAATTCAATCTATGTTTACTTAGGGGGTTAGTCCCATTGAACTAGAGCTGTCAAATGACCCAGAAAAACAAAAACCTGCTTGGCTAGGTTTTTCACGTTGGGGCTACACAACTGCTACGCAGTACCATGCAGAGTTTGTCTGGGGGTTAGGAGTCATGTTAGAATAAAAAGTTATAAACTCAAACACAAATACATAATATGGCACCCCAATGGATGTACCCGTTTCATTGTCCCAACCCAGCTAACATTTTAAAACAGTCAAAAATGAAAGTTCAAAACCTTTTTATGCTCTGCGCTGGTCTATCAAGGATTGTGCGCTTCTCAATTATGCTCAATTATACTGAAAACCAACTGATTGACAATCATATCTACACACCTCCAGCTACCATCCTAAACATACAAATCAATTGTATATAGCCAGGCCCTACGTTACAGCCGCATCTGCTCCAACTCTACAGACAGGGACTCTCACTTAAGAGACCTACAGCAAACCTTTTTGGAACTAAAATACCCACCTGATGAAGTTTTAAAAAGGTTCAATGAAGCCAGACTGATACCCAGAGAGAACTTGCTGCAAGATAGACCCAAAACAGAAAACAATAGAACTCCACCAGTAATTACATACAACTCTCAGGTTAAAACAGTTCAACGCATCATCAGAGATTTACAACCTGTCTCAGATAATGACAACTCTCTTTCCCAAGCTCTGGGAGGAAAACCTTTCATTGCCTACAGAAACCCACCCAATCTTAAACAACAACTCACAACACAATAATACAACAACCAGACTTAACATGGACACTGGCACAAGAGCATGCAGTAAATCTAGATGCCAACTTTGCTGCCACATACACCCAGACAACAGCATTATTGGCCCCAATAACACCAAACATCAAGCCTATTTAATTGTTCGTCTTCCAACATTATATATGCTCTCAAATGCCAACAGTGCCCTTCAGCTCTCTATATTGGACAAACAGGACAAACCTTATGCCAGAGGATAAATGGACATAAATCTGACATCAGGAATCAAAACAGAGAAACCAATAGGAGAACACTTCAATCTCCCAGGACATTCTATACAAGATCTTAAAGTAGCTGTCTTATTGCAAAAGAATTTTAGAAATACACT